AGCAGGGTCCCTGTTTTCACTACACTGCATACACTCAGCTTCCCTTGGGGTCAACCAATGCCTGAAGAGAAAGCATCTCCCCAGAGAGGTTCCACATGGCACTGCTCCCGATGAGGCCCCAGATGCTGCCTAGCTAGGAGGGAGCAGTCCTACCCTACCCCAGGCATCAAAATGTTTCACTACAGCTGAGAAAATAACGCTAGATAAATAACACAGATATGGTACGACTGTCCTACTTGCGCTGCAACAATTCAATCAAATTGTTAGTGGAATTACAATGGTGTAAAGCCTGCAGAAGTAAAGTAAGAATAAGACCCTTTTCTCTCCTCTACAGACTGATCGTATGAGCATCTGAGCATTTCCCACTAAGTGCTTACTGCCCTCTCCTCACATCTATTCAATTTCAGTGAAAATTCAGCTAGCAGAGTTAATCGCTTACAACCTATGATTCTGATGCAATATGTTGCTCTCATTCAGGAAATCTGAACTGAGTATACAAACTCCCAGGTCCCTTTGACAGTCAATAACTTGCTATTTTAGTGCAATGAGCACATTAGCCCTGAACAGCTTGAGACTGCATTCTCCACTGATCAGATAAACAATTTGTGAGATATTTTATTACAAATTGATGCACCAACTTAGTCATCTTTTCATCAATGATGTGCTTAAATTGGATGTGAAATGCCAAGAAAGTTCCCTCCCCAGGGTGCCATCAGTGAGAAATGTAAAGCAGAGGCTTTCAGTTAATGTGGTTCATGTAGTGGAGTTTTATCTTTCAGTCAAATCAAATTTAAGTCAGCTGGTAATACATGTTTGACCTCCCATTATCTAAAGCTATAAATTGCATTGTAGTGGTTTGTTAATCTGGCCTTAAATCATCCAGAAATATCTATACCTCTTTTATGAACTGTGGGACTTCTTCATTTTCTTATGAGTCCAGAGTACAGCTGACTGCATCTCTAGCTTCTTGTCCCCACTCAAAAACTTTTATTTGTCAGATATAAAATGCAGTATTGTTTCTAAATTTAATTAAGTATAGAAAAACACAATTTTATCTTCTTTACTCCAGAGGATAGCAAAGATATTCTCAAGAATTCCCCTTAAGATCTCTAACTCACAAGAGAAGAATTGGAAAATGAACTACATAGCCTTTGAGATCTTTTATTTAAAAATAAAAATATAATCCCATGCCAGCACATTTACTCAGACAAATGTAATTAAGAGAACAGAGGTCCTATTTACTGTCACAGCCACCTCATGTTGCACTTCCAAATAGTTTGGCCACAAAATTTTGGCATGCTATGAACTATCATTAAATGTATATGATGATATATGGCATAAGTAATTTTTTTTCAGCTTTCCTCACCACCACTTCTGGAAAAGAAAGGAAGACAGCCCAAAAAAGGGAAAGAAAATTTCTTAGTACTTTCATAAAAAAAAGTTCTAGAGCCACAAAGCATGAGACTATGAGAAATATCTCAAAGCAAAAAAACATTAAAAAAATAACTCTCAGTTATTTGCAATCCTCAGCACTTTTAAATTTTTTTCTGTGATAATGACATTTGATACCTTTTAAAAACCTTTTACAAGTACTTTTGCTTGTAGCCTACAGCACACAAGTTCCAGGCAGAGGACCCAGAAAAGATATGATCTGGTGCATTAGTCATTCATAATGAGCCAAAGGAAAGATTCACCACAATGTTAAGGGACTAAGGGTTCAGCTTCATCCAAAGGCTGAAACAGGACACAAACTGCTCATGTTTTAAAAGTTATGAGATGTGAATTTCTGTGAATATCATTTCTGACCTCAGTTAACATATTGCCAAGCCCTATTTCAGTCTCACATTCCACTTTCATGCACCCATAAATACCAATATGACACTATTTTTTGTTGTACAGATTCCCTACCAAAGCACCTGAAAGGTGTGGTCTTGGAGAGCTATCCATAACACCAGCATTTACTTAAATATTAAAAGCACATTTCTGATAAGTATATAAATAGAATGACTACTACTTTAATTTTGGCTACTCACGTAAACCTGTTTTAAAGTATAAGCTTTCTATTTGGTATTCACAAAAGAAAAAGGAAAGAAGGAAATTCAGCTGACACATATACCAAAAAAGGATCCAGTCCCACTAAATGCAGGAGAAAACAAACAAACAAACAAACAAACAAAAAACACATAAACTGAAGCCACTATCATGATTTTGTTTTCACGAATAAGAAAAATAAGAATTTTTCATCCCCAAAAATGACATCTTCTCCTCCTGTTTGAATATATTATGTTTGTGTGTATGGAAAAACATTCTTGTTTTTCTTGTAAAATGAACTGTGGTTTACATTTCAAAACAACTTGCAAATTTACTATGGGTCAGTATTCAAAGATTACATAAAGCATTAGAATGGTTACAAAGCTATTTCATCTAGGATATTCTCAAAAATCAGAACAGCTGACTTATGGAAATCTTGCAGGGTTTTTTCCCCATTATTAGCTTTTGTATTTATTATAATCGAAAGCGATCTTATTTTTACCTAGATACTTTGTTTTTGCTATGTACTTTCAAATTTCACAGGACTGTCCTTCAACTAAACTGTTCAAAATCTCTATACACTCAAGACCACAATCACCAGAGCTATTTGAAAAATTATATTACAGGCAAGAACAGACAAGAATTCATTATTTTGTAGGTTATGAAAGAGTCAGACACTTATTGTCATTCTTGTAGGAGAGGGAGTTTGTGATAATAAAAGGCAAATAATACCCACCGATATCAATTATGCTGTCAAAACCTGGGGTAGGATGGTTGGGTTTTTTTTCATAAAAATGTGAAAATTGACATCCACAAATTTTTACTGCTTTGCAGTTGTCACTTACATTTACACATTTACAGATTCAGTCTGATTTGGACATTTTTTATTTGGTCCCAAATCAAATTAGAAATACTGTTATTTACTCATGAACAAAATAAAGCATGAGCATTTAAAACTTCAAAGATTGAGTGCTCACATGATCTTAATAACAATTTGAATCCTACACAAAGACAGGACAGGAAGTATAAGGTTGAGGAGAATCTTTCTAAATAATTAAACTGGTACCAGTGATCAAATTTACAAATGAAAGAATGGAAAAAAAAAAAAAAAAGAAAAAAAAAAAACCCTGCACTTTCAACAACTTTATTCTAAGTCTATTCTGAACGTTTTCAGTTTATCAAAATAATTTATTAGCTAACTGAAAACACTACCTTCTTTTGAACAACAATAACAGTAAATCCTAATTATGAAGACTTTACGTTCCTACTCAAAGATTATAAATGATAAATCAAGTTAATATTTTCAAGTTTTTTTTCATTTCAAGAAGTGTTCAGATATTTTTCCTCTCAAAGTTTGACTGTTTTTATTTTCTCAGATTATTTTCTTCTTGCATTCCAGTTTCAAACTTGTCAAGGCTTTTCAGTGTTTTGACTCTGTGATACAGAGAATAATGTGTAGCTGGAAGCACAACTACGCCAAAGTCAGTCTACAGTTTAAGATAAATAACGACTTTGAATAATACAGCATAGCATGTGATAAGACTGCCACACATTACCTACTACAGCTAGTAGCCATTGCTTTGGGACTCATAGTGATACAGTTCATTCCAGCCACACATCCCTTTGCTCAGAAGCGACCTGTGGTTTGGTTTGCTGTTAGTTCACAAAACCCAGTCCAGACAGCACACCTTGACCTATTAGCCTGACTTGCTCTCCTCCCTTTTTGTAAGGCAGATTAGTTTCTTAGTCTCTCACTAAGGCAAGGGAACTGCAATTTTCCCTTAATAAACTCGCTCAGTTGCAGACATCAGACCCTTGCTCAATATTACTGTGTTTTAAACTCTCCTAATATTATTGTGACCTAAACAGTTCAGCTACTGCACTAACATGTGTCCAAATCCAATGGGAAAATCTTTTAAACAGAAATATCAAATGACAACTAGAAACTGTGAGAAAACATTTTACTACCATTCTGGACCTGGTCCTTGGTAACCCGGATCTAAGTATCTCATGGGACCGGACCAGATGACCTCCAGATGTCTCTTCCAAACTCAAGTATTGTTTGATTCTGTGAAAAACGTTACCTGAAGTAACCAAAAGATGCATTTACTGGATAAAAATATAGCAGCCGGTATGATAGTACCTATGAAAGCACTGCTGACAATTAAAGAAATAAAAAGCTGTCAGTAAATACAAATCAGAGTGTAGGAACTGTTGAAACCTGATAAGAGAAGGGAAGCAAAACAGCTCTATCATTGTGCCAGAGCAGTGGACCTATTAAATGGATATTTTTCCAAAACTAAGACTCTCACAATATTGCAAGCCTCTAGAAAATTATAGCTCAGTATCTGGAGAAAGGATGGATGAAAACACTGTATGATGGTGAATAAATACTCTGCACACCAGCATACATGAGCAATATGTTAAAAAAGAGCTGCTAAAACTACACATCTCATTTCAACAAGTCTGTAAATAATTGATTTCAGATGTGTAAAAGAGCTGATTAAGGATCTATCTAGATCATTGTGTGCATTGAGTTGCATTCATGTTCCAAAGAATAGAGGAAAATCAAATACTAAGTTCTGATGGTATCTTAACAGAGTTCACAGAGAGTAGAAAAAGTAAATCTACCCATGGCTGGATTCTTAAGAAAAGAGGGTTTTTTGTGATAATAAAATTTATGTTGATGAGTATAAATCTTTTGAAAGTAAAATATGTTAATGATTTGACATCTCTCTTTACAAAAATGCATCAATTAATAAAGGTAATAAGGTCAAGGAAATATACATATGCAAGAGAATGTACTTTGACACTAATGTGATTATTTCTGGATTGCTAGGAACTAGCTGTATGTCCAATTGAATAAACTGGTTGTTCTGAGAAGTACCACCAAAATATATGAATTCCAGAAACACACATCTGGTGAATAAATAAATCCAGCCTCACTGTAGTTCCACAGCAATGTTTAGTTTTGCTTTGAAGTTATGTATGAAACCCTAAGCTCCAGAGGGGCTTGTTCTTTCACCTCAAGATCTAATCCTATTCCAACTTCAAACTGTCTGCAAACCTACTGCCTTCTAAAAACAGCAGAAGATGAGGGAGTTGGTTTTTCTCTGTGTCGAATGGAAGAAAACAGGAAAAAAAGATAAAGCCATGAAGTTCTCCTTTCTTTCTTTTGTCCCATCACTGCTCCAAGTGAGGGGAAAAAAAACAAAGCAAAACATGACTACAGGACTTTTTCCATCCAGAGCTGAAGGAAGCTTGAGTCTTCTGACGTTCTTAAGAAAAACTGAATTAGAGCAGCAGCATCAGGGAATAACACTGCTCCTCCATCTCTACTTTCTCCCTCTATTGCAACTTTTATTGTCCCACTGCCAAACCTTTCTGAGTCCCTGCAGGAAAGACAAGAGTAGTGCAAGGTCAGGGCATGGTTTCCAACACAATATTTCTCACATTTTTAACTTGAATCCTTTCCTTTGATTAGTCTAGCCAGAGGCAGGCCTCCAAACCACACTGTCTACTAACTGCTGAAACAGCCTCCTCCTTCATTTCTCTAACTATACCATCACATTTATTCATATTTTCCGCTATTTGAGTTAACAAATTATTTTGTCTTTCTCATTAGATTTCATTCTACTATCCTGCTCTAGCTATTAGATAGTAGATTTTACTTCACTGTCAAATTCCATCTTTGGTCTTTCAAACCCTGCAGCCACACGCATACACATGCACATTTCTCTATCAAGCACTTGTCATTTCCTCATTGCTGCTTCTCACCAGTAATAAAACCTTCACAAAATCCTCCTTTGCAGTTTTCCTTCAAATATATTTCTCTCGTGATGTCTACAGATAATGGCAGTTCCCAGTGGCAAAAGGAGGAGTAATCTGAAATTGCTGAGGTGGTTTGCAGGGAAAGAAAGTCAACAAGCAGAAGTCATAACATGAGAATGTTCTTCTCCAAGAATAACGCGGTTCAAATACGCTGTAGCCACATAAGACACAGGTTTAATAAACTTAGTCAACTTATTTTCCTTTAGTGCCCCTGTGTAAAATTGGCTTCTGTTTGCATTACTGAGTTGAAACTTGTCAACAGACTCAGCACACTTACTGCAACCTTTAGTTGCATCTATTCTGAAATACTGTCTCTGAACTTTACTTTTCTTACATGTTCACAGTGTTTAGGACAATATCAAGCTGATCTTCTACTGCGATTCTTAAATACAATCTTGATATAATTGGTTAAGAGAAACAGTAGTAATGAAGCTGCAACAAGCTCACATTTATGCTCGGTTTAAATCCTATGATGATTATTGACCGTGTGATTCTTCCAGTATACACTACATTGCAGATGAATTAAGTCCATGGAGATTTACTCTCTGTCACTGAGATACCCTACAAGTACAGTTTAAATGTAAATCTAAATTTGGTTCATTGGTTCTAGTTTGTTTTTATTTCAAACATAATAGAGCATAAATCTGATCATACAACTCAGATAATATCATTGTTCACTTTATAGCCATGGCTCACCGTCACACTGGACAAGATCACGTAGGGGATAAGGTCACAGAAACTCTCTGTGTGTCTTCTACCCTCTGATGTTATCAGGTACTCAACCCTAAAGCAAGAGAAACACACTGATAAAAATAGGAGAAAGGGAACTGTGATAATAAATCAACTCAACTGCAGAGAAAGTGCCAGGGAAAACAATATTGATTTTTTTTTTTTTTTACAAGTCAGTGGACAGATATGTCAGACAAAAGAATAGAGATGTCAAAACCCACAGAATCAAACAACACTAATATTAAGAGAAAAACAACTTTACTACCTACAAAATGCTGGAATGTGTACATAGTGATGTTTATCAGAAAGAGGAATGGTATTTTATCATACTCAGAATATTTAAAAGGAATATACACTCTATATTTAACAGCCACTGTTTGCCCCTCACTCTGTTTTTACAGTAAAACCTCTTAGTAGGGTCAGACAGAAGCACAGTCAGAGTCCACTGCAAAAGGAAGGCACCTCTAGCCCAGTGAACAAAAGATGCTTCACTCCTCACCTAAGGGAGGTGACTCAATGGTCATCATCAGTGACCATGTAGTTACCTCCCCAGGTGGTAGCAAAGTATCTTGTTTCTCTTTAGCAGCTTAGAGCTTTCTTTCCAAAATGGCCATGCTATGCTCCAGTTCAGGGATTGGTCAGCAAAAGTCAAGCAGACAAGACCACACTAAAGAGAAAAGACATTTAAATTCTATTAAACTAAGGAAATGAAGTGTTAAAATCATATAGCCAATTATTTTAAAAATGCTAGATGACATCATAAAGTTTAATGTGCTCACTGAGGATCATAAGAAAACAATAGTTGTACAAAATGTCAGATATAAGAATAGAAATATCCAGTAGTTCAGAAAAATGCTTTGTCTGCTCTCTAGCACTTACCTTTAATAAATTAAGATAAACTAAGGTCAGGAAGAACATTACTTCATTTATTGTGTTCTATGTAACAGAAACCTTTAGATTTCATTCAGTTCCCTTTACTTGTAGTTCCAAAACCTGTTTGCTAAATCAATCATTTCGGAAAGACATCAGTATTGATTTGAAGACCTCATAAGGTGTAGAAATCATCTATTCCACTGCTAATCTATGTAAATCTTTCTGTACCCTCACTGTTAAAAATTAGGCATAATTTCTTATTCAAATTCATATGCCTTTAACTTTCTGTCATTAATCTTTTCTCTCTTAAATTACAGAGCACATAATTTTTTCATCTTGAAGGTATTTTGGCATTATAATTGTGTCACATTTGAGTCTTATTAGAAAAATTAGTAGATTGAGTTCCTTAGAACTCCCATCATAACTCACTTTCCTCAGCACACAAGCTATTTTTGTGGCTTCTTACTTCAACGCTTCCAATTCTTTCTAACTTCACAACTGCTGGTATTGTTTCTTATGTGACCTAAGGTGCGCCTGAGACTGTCTGGAGATAGGATGATGTCACCTCTCCAGTTCATGAGACTTAACTCATTTTGTCTTACAGCCAGTATTGCACAAGATATACCAATTGTTAGAAGTCGCAGTACATGTGCCACATCAAGACACTTGAAAAATATTATCCTTCAACTGCTGTCATACTTCGATATGCAATTTTCATTTTCTTTCTGTTACCTAACAGTTCTCCTACAAGCTTTGAGTGAAGTGAAGCAACTCGCTGTAGAGTTTTGCTTTTTTTTTCATAGGGTGGTGAATTGTTGGTCCTAACACTGAATCAGAACTTTTTTGTGCTGTCCCTACAGAGCAGAGCTCAGCGCTGCCTTTCCACTCCCTGTGAGGAGCTGCAGCCACTATGAGGCCACCCCTCAGCTCCTCTGCTCTGCACTGAACAAACGAAGGGACCTCAGCTGCTCCTCATGCTCACCAGTCCTTTCCCTGCTTTCTTTTTTTTTCTTTTTTTTTGCCATCCTTTGGGCATACTGATATTTATTATATTCTTATACCACGGGGTCTAAAACTGCACAGTGTACTAGAGTGGTAGTGCTGAGTATATCAGGACAATCGCTACTTTCAACTAGTTAGCTATTCTCTGCTTAGTGTACTCCAGGATATGACTGACCCTTCCAGCCACTAGTTCACACTGACTGCTCACACTGAGCTTATCATCAGCCAAAATCCCCAGATCCCCCTCTGCAGGGCTGCGCACAAGTCACTTGTCCCCCATCCTAGCACTACACAGTTCCAGGTGCAGAATCCAGCAGCAGTTCTTGTTAAATTTCATAGAGTTGGTAGTTGCCAACAGCCTAACCTATAGAAATCTCTCTGTAAAGCCTTTCTGCTCTCAAGGTAGAGGTGTCATCTTCTCTCTTAGTATTGTCTGCAAACTCATGTGTGCACTGGTTTGTTTTGCTCATGAGACCTGACAAATACAAAATAAAATGTTTCTGTGTATGTATGAGCTGTACAATACACAGAATTTTGAATTTAAACCCATCAGTGCAAGCCTAGGGAGTCTTGGACAAATATCACCAAGAGCTCTAACATTGTATTAATTTTACTTATCTATCTGCTTTTATGAAAACAACCAGGTTTAAAGACATTCCCTTGGAACTATACCCCTTAGACCCAAATAAAAGTCCTACTTACTATGTTAGCAAGAGATTGTCTTCCCTATTACTCTTTCCTTAGAAATCTCTTTTCCACCCTGCCATCGGATGATGAAAGTGAGTTCTTTCTTCTACTTTCCCATAAAACATTAGTAGAATTTTTTCTTTAACAACAACAAAACAAATCCCTGATGGTTATTTAAGAAAAAGAAAAGCCTCAACTGGGTAGGCCAGCTGCAAGTCTTTTATCTGACAAGTTCATAACGCTTGTGTTGTTAGAAACAAGTTCAAATTAAATACATATTCAAACTGCTTGAAAAAAAATCACAGTATACTTAATTATTTCAATGCTTTATTTTCCATATTAAATATGTGATTAACAACATGAGTGGCCATACAGAATACCTTGCTAGGGACTGAATTTTTATTTTTCTCCTGAACCAGGCTACTCTGTATTCCCTGAACTCAGATTCAGACAGGAATACTGAATGCTTCTTCCTTTACATCCCACTCCTTCCTTTTGAGTCTCTGACCTTGCCCACTTTTCCCCATTGGCTGATATGACATCAATATTCAACACTGCATGGCAGAGGACCAAAACATATATCACAAAGTTCTTTTGCTCAGTCCATGCAGCTATTTGTTTGTTTAAAGCTAAGTTATTCTTATGAAAATGTGAGTCAAATACAGCATGCCTGTTGGCATTTTTTTTTCACATCAGCACATCTTACAAGCCTAACAAGGCTCATCCATCATTCTCACTAACCACAGACTGAGGTGAAAAGTCAGGAGTCAGGGTTTGGAGAAAGCCAACTGTAAGGGGACAGAAGGCATACTGAGAGGGGAAAGACTGTATCTGTCAACTAATGGTAACAGTGACTGACTGTTTTTTGATAATATATGACAATTATCCACATATTTAATATTTTCCTTTTGTTCTCCACAGTTGTATGATAAAATAGTAACTACTGAAAGTCTCTGAAAGACTTTTAGGACTTCTGCCATGTGTACAGTGTGTAGCATCTGCTTTTTCTTTGGATCCTGTAGTGAGGGAGGCTCACAATTTTAAATTCCAGGTTCAGTCATTTTGCACTACTGAGATGTCTTTCTCCTCTAGAGAATTCAGAATATGGGTGAAAGAAAGGCAGATGGACTTGACACTGTTAGATGTTCCTTACAACACCATCCTGTAGAGAACTTATAACAAAAACCATCACCACATTAGAGAAAGCTTTAAACAGTAAGTCTCCCTAATCAGAGTTTCTCTTTCATTCCCACCTATCCAAGCAAAAAATATTGGCCACAGTATTTCCAATTTCCATGATGTTATTCTAAATCTCTTACCTTAAGGTATGGCTCCCTAGACAATACATTCCAGTTTTTCAAGTTGAGCTTCAGATTTAAAAAAAAAAAAAAAAAAAAAAAAAAAAAGCAAAAAAAAAGCAAAAAAAAGCTGTTTGTATAGGATTACTATAGAAAGCGGAAGATGTCTCAGTAGGGCTGCTAAACAAAAGCAGGTCCTTTTACCTGAAATGCAGTGTTTTGAAAGCACAACACAGTAATATGAAAACAATTTCTGAAGTGAGATCATATTTCTCCCTCAATGCAAAGTGCAAGTTAAAGGGACACTAGTCTCAGATGGTATTTTTAAGGCAAACCTACCCAATAAAATACACATAGCATAGCCTGGATTCAAAGACAGCAGTCTCCAATTCTTAAATCTGTGACCTAAAGTAAGGGCAGAAATACGGTCTGTGGCTGTCTTTTGGGGATGCAAAGATGAAGTCTAAAATTTAAAATGGAGAGAGAAAGCACTCCTTACAGGAAAGTAGCCAGGGAGTTTAATGTCTGAAGGGATCTTTCAATCATTCATTCTGACTTAACATAACAAGCACTATGGATTTTTCAACTATCCTATGCTGCACTGCAAATCTTCCACTTGGCCCAACAATCTTAGAAACATTTGCCCTAGATCATAAGATCCGTCGGGGTGCAGTTGAAGTATATTTCAGTGCTTGACCACTCTCCTTGTGTGGCATCATCTCCTAAAGATGTCACTCATTATGCCTACCCAGATCTCTCCAAGAGCCAGTGTTTTTTCACCTTAAAAATGCTTACATGTAGCAATCAAGTTGCCATCACCTTTTGTTTTCCTTTCTTTCATATCATCAGCTGGAATTTTCTAAGCCTGCCCTTGGAAAGACTTTACATCATTTTTGCAGCTCATTTACACCAACTGATTTACACCATGACCCTGCCTTTAAGGTATGACCATAACTAAACTGTGAGGACAGAACTCCATTCGGCTTTTCAACATCTGTCTCACTGACTTGGTTTAAAGAAGTAGAAATCACCCTTCTTCTCCTACTCATTGATTCTGTGTTCATACCTAAGAATAACATTTTGACAGTGAATCAGTATTTATGAATGAAAAAATAGCTGTTTTTATTCTGCTGGGCCCCAGCATACAGCTAAAAATTGTCACTTACACTGTGAACATCAAAAAAATTTTACACTC